TATATTTTTTTTTTACTTTTATACATAAAAGTATATAGAAACACCAAAAATTCTGAAATTTTGGGGGGGAATTATTACCTGACATACACAAAAAATATACTTCAAATATACTAAAAATGTGTAACAGGTGCAGAAAACCAGTGACAAAAGTGTATAGCATAGAAAGAGAAAAGATACTTCGGATAGAGAGAAAAGTTACCTCGGATACACCAACCAGATAACCCGAGAAAAAGTTACTTCGGATATACTCGGATATACCCAACATATAACACAAGAAAAAAAGGTTATTATATAGATAACTAGAGAAAAGTTACTTCTGATATACCCAACATATACCCAACTCGGTTTTGTAAATATACCTTCGAATTATAATCAAATCATACAAGAAAAAAAAAAGAAAAAAAGCGACAAATTCTAGGGAACACGAGACGGATTCTTCTTGTCATCCACTCAAGCAGGAGGGTAAACTCGTCGGTGCTGCGCGAACTAGGAATCGTCGGAGGAGGGTCGCGTCGCCAGAGGGCGATCGAAATTCGGTCACGGGCCTGGTATCTCTTGAATAGAGGCGACGATGGTGACTGAGGAACCGCCGGGAAGCTTCGTGGAGGTGCTGCAAACTTGGTGATGGTGCGATTGAGAGACTGATGATTGTTGCTGGTGCGCGATGCGGGAGAGAAAAGAGAACGAGGAGAAAGTTTACGTTTTAGGGTCTGCAGGGAATCTGATGATATCAATATCTGTTGCGTGGAATTAGGATGTTGCTGAGGGATTTTAATCCCAATTAAATACATGTAACTAGGTTAATCACGATTTTAGGTATAATTGAAAATCTTTTATATGGTTTAGGTGATTTTAAAAATGAAATAAAGAGGATGCAAAAGTGTTAAATATTTTAAGCATAACAGTAGGACATGCAATTTGCTCTTTTATTTTTGCTCTTTGTTACCTAGTTACTTGGACCCCGAGCCTCAGTCACTGTTGGCAGAGTTGAATCAGCGCATGGGCCTACAATTTGGAAAGCTTAATAAATCTTTGATTGAATTGGTACGTTTACCAAAGTGTCATAAATAATTTGCACTGAGGAATTCGATCATATTAAGTGTGGATAATCACCTCCGTTTGCTCCTTATTTCTCAAACATCTTTATTAGGTTGTAATAATAATAATTTAGACTAAGGAGTATAATGAAAATTCAGTGTGCATCTCAATTGAAATCTTATGTTATGACCCGTATTTGTTAAAAATCTTCCAACTGATTATATGGACCTGGACTATCTTTCGGTTGTAGTGTAACATAGATAATAGGTATTGTGAACATAACAGACACATTTTGCATATCTGATTCACAAGAGATACACCATTTCTCTACCTCTCCGTTATCACCGGCCACTAAAAAGTGAAACCGATAGTTGCACATGTTTCTATCTCCACGAACAATGTCATGAACTCTATTTATGAAAACTTCATATGATGAGGTCCTAAGACAAAAAAATTTCATCTATGTCTCACCATTTTTGTACACATTCCCATCTCAAAAGTCACCGTGAACAATTCGTACTCTACCAACGTCCATCTGAAAAAAAAAATTAAATAAAAAAGAAAATCTTAGTACAAATGCTTTCTTCAACTTTTTTTTTCCCTTCAAATGTGTTTGGACAAAAATATATAAATACAAGACACATTTTCTTGACTAAAACAGAGAAACTGTTTCTTAAACAAGAAATTATTTTAGGTTCTTTTTTGTTCAAGAAACTGTTTATTCTTCAACAAAACACGAAATTGTTTCTTGAACAAGAAATTGTGTCATGAACACGAAACGTTTATTGTCTTTTGATGTTCAAGAAATTGTTTATTATTCAACAAACGACTAACTGAGCTCCTAAAACTCCAAAAAACGGCTCAAGAAATGGTACAACAAAAGGCATGAACTCCAAAAAACAACCCCTTTATTTGAAATGAAACGTATAATATCACGGAGCGCGCTATTTGTAGTACGAACTAAATAAAGAACTTATGAATGCGGAAGCAATAAACCGAAGATTTAAAAAACTCTTCAGGGAAGTATCCCACTTCCCCTCAGAGCTCTTTCATTGATAGATCAAATATGAACATAGCTTGGACTTACAAAGACTCGAACTCCCTTCAAGCCTAGCCAACACTACTCAGATCCTATCAACTATTTCTCCGGCCACGTCCCGTGGACTTTTTATCCTACACTTACTCCCTAAGTGTAAAAGTAAAAGATAGTTTGATGAAACAAAGAAATACAAAACAAAACAGCTTCAGTCCTTGAGTTTGTAAGAACTCTCGTACTGAACTGTGTACAACTGAATAGAAAGATAGAAATGCGAAGCTCAAGTATTGCTCTAAAAATATCTCTAAACTCAGCAGCCGCAATAAGAGCTTGCACTAGGGTATTTATATGAACTCCTTAGGGTTGGAGTCTTCTACAAGGCATAGGACTTTTAGTTTGATTTCCTTCCATGGGAATGGCATATCTTTGGCAAGTAAATCTCCTCTTTTCTCTCTCCAAGATCTCCTCTATAAGCACGCCTCTCCTCCTTTTAATTCTTTTAAATCCGATTTCCTACAAAATACAATAACATAATAAGACCTTCCAGGTGCTTAATTAAACTTAATTAAGGAAATAAAATATTTGAAGATCTTCCCTTTTTCTGTGGTTCCAGGTGCTTGTTCGAACTAACGAACTAATGCCAAAATAAAAATATCTTTCAATCTCCCCCTTCGGCATCTAGTTCGAAAACAATAGACATGAAGGTCACCTGAAATTAAAACAACAAGCACCAAGAAACAAACCACATTAAGGGGTTAGTTCACACAGAAATATTATACTCACAGTTCTCCCCCTTAGTACCTACAGCCTACAAAACTTAACAATTATCCATTCAATCAAAATAAGCAGAATAAGCAGTCATCAAAAGCATCAAAACACCTACATTCAAAATACTTAAAAAAAAGTAGCAATAAGACCACATCATCAAAAGCAAACAAATAAGAGGTTCTTTATTACATAAAGTCCTCACTACATCACTCATACTAAGACTGCCTTCTACTCATCAGCACAATAATTTGCAATCGCCTCATCAGTGCTATCTCCCCCAGAATCTGAGTCCTCATCATCATCAGCAGCAACATTCTTCTTGCTTGAGGCTTTCTCCCCCTTTTTCAAACTACGGGATGCCGAAGGGCCTGTCCTCGTGTTCTTTCGCTGCTTCCCTTTTACTGCTTGAAGAACCTGACGCAGATATGACTGTTGAGCTCCAACCTTCTTGGCCAGGTCATCCCATTCACCCAACTGCTGGATGACAATTTCTTCCCACTTGGTGGGAACCACTGAAGGGGTCAGGTCCTGCTTTGGAGCAGATTTCTCACTCAAGGTACGGTTGCTCACAACCAGATCTTTACCAGGAGGCTTAAGAGAGTTATTGTACCGAGGATTCAAAGAGAAATTCTGAGCAGTGAGAAAGGACCAGATCAAACAGGGAAAAGGTAGAGAACGACGAGACTCAATATTGGCAATGAATGGCTGAAGAATCTCAAACACAACCTCTCCAAAACTAAAAGGCTGACCCACCATAACCCAATAGATAACCTTGCTTTGCAACTCAGTGAGCAAGGTCTTATTGGATGTGGGGGTCCAATTCCCAGCACCCACCTTATGAAGTAAATTAGCAACAAGGCACAAAGAGTTAGCAGGAAGATTTGACCCAGGCCAGGTATCAAGCTGATTGGCAGTGAGAACTTGGGTCACAAAATCAAGATCAACATCAGGTAAGGGAGAAATATCAGAGGGAATACCCAGGTGAACATTGATCAAAGCAGGCGATAAATCTATAATACGGTTATGCAAAAAGAGTTTATGAAAACGAGGACTACCAGGTTCAAAGACAGCAGGGGTAAGATTGGCAAAAAATTCACAAACAGCTTGGTCACAGAAAGAACTAAGATCCACAACAGTTTTTGACAACCCAACAGAATCAATCAGAGGAAGAACGCCAAGTT